GTTACTGTAAAATTGAATTGATGCAAATATGCATCATTAGACTCAGAACTGAGTAAAATCCTGACCTGGACATAAATTTTAAGTAATGAATAAAATCTTAATAACCGTTCGTTCGTTATACATCGAATAAAAATTAGAATTCAAATTATTTAATATACCACAATGAATACATATATTTTATAAAATTATATTTCATGTTTAGCGTTACATGACAATTTTCCTCATGTTTATAATTCACGTTAAATGAACACTTATAAGTTAGCGAATTACTATAGCAAGAGACTCAAATTAGTGTTGGTACCATCATAATAGACTGACCAGATTCTAGAATTTTAAAGTCTTTGTTATTTAAATATGTACGTATATACGATAACGCTATGCAGCAGATATTAATTAATTAATTAACGGGAATAAATCCGTTAGGCATAATTACTGAAGAAATGTACGACCCAAGAGGAACTGAAGGAGGAAGAAACAGTAATCAACGCTCGACCCTAGCTAAACTTTTTCCACTATTTCGCTTCGTCGCTCGCGTCATTAACTCCGGGTTACTAATGCACGCAATTTTTCTATATTTTTTCCTACAAATTATGACGCTTAATGCAGCAGTAATTATTCAAGTTTGCAGAACGTGCATATTTGTTTTGCCCATTAATACCTCCACGGTAAATGTTACGTGTAATCATTTAAAAAATTGTACGACGTACCATTCCTTAGAACACTTCCAAATGGTTCCGAGGGTTGCTCAATGCGTGAAAACATAAACGTGAACTAATGAATTTTTTCTTAGCGTGTTTGGCATAATTAGAGATTATGCTGCTTCCAACAGTACCAAGGACTATTGCCTTTCGACTATAAACAAAAAACCATCCTTTATATCAGATCCACGTATTTCTTTCATGCCTATAACATTCTTAAATTGCAAACAAATACTTTTAAGGAAGCCTAATGTAGTACATTTTTTTCGTGTATTTGATTTCTAAAATTTTTGTTCGAAAACTTAACTTAAAAGAACTTAAAGTTTTATTCCGAAGATCTAATGAAACAAATTTTTCAGAATTCTTTTAACAAACTTTCCAGAATTGATTTTCGAAAATTTAATTTCGTTCATTGCTTTCCAACACTTTTTCTACAATTTAAGAGTGATATGGGTATGACTAAAATAGGTAACGCTGATATAAGTGGTGGTTTCTCCCTTAAGGTTGAAAAGGAGCGAAACGGAATACGACATTGTTGTTGAATTGGACCAATGAACATTTGTACGGTTTCATCAAATTGGCGTCTGACAGTTTGCAGTACATACTTTCTTGTCAGAGCCAAGCATCTGTGTTTACATTGCGTCTTGCTTGATTGCCAATATGGCTGCTCTGCTACACAAGAGTGAGCATAAGAAGTAAGTTGCGTTACCATTAAATTCGTAAGTGTTCCAGGTTTTAACGACAGAGTAATGTACAGAGTGACATTATTTGATAAGTATTATTAACTAGACTTTTAATTCATCTGCGACTAATACTGGGTGAAACATTGGTTACTCGATTTGAAATTAATTTATAAGCTGCAGTAAGCTTCGTGTAATATATCTGACGAGCAAGCTTCATGTAATATATCTGACGAGCACGAACTTGGCCTTTAGTTCGTAAATTATTTTCAATACTGTAAAACTTAACAGTAGTAACTAAAATTGGAGCTTCTTAATGATATGACAAAATCATTACAAAATTAGTGGACATTCGGTGTCAGTACCAGCTCGAACTTTTGTTTATTTCGAATAAATTAATTCATCTCTGAAAAAGTGACGAAAAGAATATGAATGAATATTTCAGTTTTCATACAATACGTTTTTATAGAACAAACAAGTATTTCAATTTGCTTATTCTGTGTTTCTTTTCTTAATTTAATAATAAACGTTAATGAAATTCTCAAATTTTGCTTTTTTTGAAACTATTCAAATACTAGGAATACAGCTGCAGAAAAATTGGTGATGTTCGAAAAGGACCATGAGAATGAAAACAAGAAAAAAAGAGTTATTCTCTTGAAAAGTGAACATAAAAATGAACATAAAATAAAACAGCTAAATACATAATGAAATTACTTCTTGTTACGTACTTCGTAACACGTTTACTTAATCCACAAATAAACTGTAGAACCTAGTTTCAGTTTGAAGATACGAACCGTACGAATGATCCATCTAGCAGACGCATGACGCATGGTAAGTGTTAAACATGTTTTTACGCTTTAAGTTGAAATTTCTTGGGATCAATTTTCCTTGCTCCAATTCCCCATAGCCCAAGGTTTATACTTAGATCAAAATCTAGTTAAAAACATGCAGAACGCGTTTCAACTCTATGGCATCTGTATACTAACATTTGGTTGTCTTCCACATATAGTACGAGCTTCAAGAAGTCTTCATGAAGCATGTTGTGTAATAAGGGAAGTACGAAAACTGAACCTCGAGTTTCTTAATGAAACTTAGTAGACATGGAAAATATGTACTTGATTGATTTTGCTCCGTTTGCTTGAGTTTTGTTAAACATTATATTATCATTCTGTAATTTATGTACAGTGAGTAACTTTAATATTCGGACACTATGAGATATTTACTTTGTTACATCATAACTTCGTTTCTAGTGAAACAAATAAAAAACATAATCAAGTATTATATTAAGGTATATGTGTAGTAAACAATAGTGTAAGTTTTACTTACATAACTTACAATAGTTGTTAAATAATACGATTTAAACAAAACATTGACTGATTCTCGCGTTACTTTAACATTCGGACACTTGGTAGTGTAGCACCTTTTCTGAGGGTTTACGCAGGGTTACTTCGAGTTAGATAGAAGTAGTGTTTGTTTACAAACAAAGTAGACTATTCGGATGATACTAACAAGCTTTATTTCATCAGTTATTCTTCGATGACCGTTGCAGCAATAAATAAAACAATTGTTTAACACGTTTCGTGCTGCGTGGGGAATATACGGCCACCACTGAACTTTCCGTTCAGGCCGCTTGAAATTCTTGTTCATGCTCGTTCGACCATGTTTGTTTGTTAAAATAATTCCTTAAAAATTAAATAATTTATTGCTTTGTTGTCTAATACATATTAAAATTTATACTATTTTCTCGCTTTTTTATTTATGCCCTGACCACACGGCCTGAACGGAAATATTGGATTTTAGTGTAGCGTTTAGTCGCAATTTAGTCAATTTGATGCTTACTAAGATTTTTCTCGCTTCTGAGTCTAGTCTAAAAGTTTGACGACAAAAGATTAAAAGTAATATCCTTAGGAAAGCTTCGTTGAAATTCCTTTCTCCTGTGAGAAAGGCGTTTAAATAGGAATTAAAGTCTAGCAAAACAATATGCTATGAGTGGTAAAAGCCCCGATTGATGGTTCTTTTCTAAAGGCAAAAGCGGATTTTCTAACAAGACTTTGTCTCAACTTGCAAAGCAAAAACTCTAGTGGCTACGGTAGAATGTCAAAGAGTTCGCTTCAGCTTGAGATCCTTTAGCAGCCCAGATTTAAATTCGCTACACTATAGACTCTGGTCAAAGCTGATGAACATGTACTCCAAGACTCTTTACAACAATTTGAAATGCCTGGAGAACGTTCAGAACAAAATTAGTTTCTGATTGTCAGATAATCCTGAAAACCGTGCATGCTTTGATAACGGACTGAACATGTCTAAAGACCTACACTAGTGTAAAAGGTAACCATTTTGAACAATAAAACTATTTTTCTCTTATTATTCTTGGTTAGCTACAAACATTTCAGAGTTCGAATCAAACTGATTTATTTTGAATTTGGTAAGTTATAAAATTAATTTTAGGTGTTCTCTGTTTCAGTTATAGAAGCAAATTCAAATCAGCAGCAATTATTTTCCATAATACAATGTGTATTATCTATGCTATGTGTTTTTAACTTTTCATTAGTGCCTCTTTAGGAATTAAATAACTCAATGAATTATACTCTCACAACCATGGAAAGAAAGGTCTGAAGAGAAATGATTAAATGGTATTAAGCAAGATGAACATTTTCTTATAAATGGTTTTCTAAAAGGATTTTCATTTTTAGTCAAACACGAGTGTTATGAAATATTAGGCGTAGAAATTAGTTCTGTATTCAAGTAAAAATATTTACTCGTAATTTTGTTAGGTTAAATAATGAACCTTCTAAGTTCTCAACCTGATCCTTATTACAATGAATTTACACTCACATTATCAGACTTGTAAAGCAGCGAGTTCATTAAAGGGTGTTAGTCTAAGTTTGTGAGATTTTCGACCACCGTGTGTCGCACAGTGGTCCGGATGGCCGAAAACCTGGCCAAAATGCAATTTTTGAAGTTTCGAACACACTTTTTTCAATATTGTGCGTGTGTTGTATATATATGAGTGCATTAAATTCCGTTTGAGGATCTCGAGAGACGTCTTGAGAAGTTGGAAATAGATCGAGTGATGCGGTTACTGACGAGTTATCGTCTAGCGGATGTAAGATTGTTAGATTGTTTGTCTGATTTTTGTTTTAGTTTACTGTCCTTGCCGGAGATAGTTTTCAGGTCTCTCAGAGACTCAAAACGCTTTAAACCGTTTTCTTTTTTCTCATTTATGGCTCTAACCTAAATGTAAAAAAAAAAAGACAAAAAAGGGGGTGAGGGAAAAAAAATGTATCGATTGTATCGATATCTCGCAATTTGTTGACAACAGGCTCTAACCTGAAAAATGTCAAGTTTGTTCACTCGTAGGCACTAACCTACGAGTGTCAAACCTTTTTTCCTCACTTTTATGGATTCTCGTGAGATGAATTTTTTTCTTCAATTCCGAAGAATTTTGCGAGTTTTTTCATCAGGCTCTAACCTGCTATGCAAGTTACTCATATTTTGAATATGAAAAATATGAAACAATATTTAGGACTAACCTATTATTGTCGGTCTGGATTTCCAGACCGTGACCGTTCCAGATATCCCAAAACGAGATCTTTTAGTTCGGATCGGTGTGTTTCTTCAGTTCCTCCAGATAGGAGTGAACAAGAAGATAACCCGGCAGATGACAGGCAAACAAGTCAGATGCATCGGGTTTTGCTGGATTCCACGAATCAGTTAACAAATCTACGTAACATCTCTGTCGATCATGTGCCACCGGTAGATTTTAGTGAGCCAGCGATATTGAACACAGAAGCTGCGTTAAGTTCTGATATTTTAGATATTTTTGGTAAGCGTATCTGCGAAGAAAGAGTCTTCGCTCCTCCAGTTCATAAAGATCTGGTGGTACGCTACGAAGATGTTATTAAGGAGGGCCTGTCGGAGGAAATTAGAGTAGAGGTTCTGAAGAAATATCCATCACCTAACAACTGTACGTCCATTGATCCTCCTAAACTAAATCCTGAGTTCAAATTTGTTGTCCAGGAGTTGGTTTCGAAGAGGGATGACCGCATTCGGAAAAAACAGGAAAAGATTACTGTTTCTTTGGGTCTCGCTTTGGCAAGCAATGTCTATTGCTGTGAAGGGGAAAGACAATCCTAAAATGCTGTCTTTAGTTAAAGACAGCACTTTAGATTTGATCCAGCTATTGGCGGATCTGCAGCACGATGAGTCTTTTGTTCGTCGAAGCTTGATATTAGCCAATATCAACGCATCTCTTCGAGACACTGTCAACGCGTCAGGCTGCGGAGATTTCTTGTTTCAGAACAATTTGGAAGAAGTGTTGAAAAATGCAGAAACGATGGAAATCTCTTGCAGAGATCTCAAAGTCGCTCAAAGATCGCAATCTTCGAACAAGCAAAAAACTTGAGATTCTCGCCCTGTCAACGTCAGGCCAGGAATTATCCAGCGGCGTCGGACGGGCAGAAGCCGAAGTATCACTTGTTATAAAAGAAGCAGCCGCAATCTTTCCAGAAAACTCGCTACCAGAGACGCGATCGCGATCGGAATCGAGATCGGGAACACTTGAGGAGACGTTAGAGCTTGGTGTAAGCCTTATAGCCGGTAGACTCGGTCTCTTTCAAGGTAAATTGCAAGATATAACCACTGACGAAAAAGTTTTGTCTTGGTTGAGATCCTTTTTTGGTCGAAAATTAAACAGATCGTGCCTCCGAGTTTTCGGATATTTCACAATTAACGAAAGATTTAAAATCAGGCAATTAATTGACGAATTAATAGTTAAAGGTGCAGTTCAGACGTATCAGTCGAGTGAGGGACAATTGTCTCGAGTTATTTTCTAGTTCCTAAACGGGATGGATCCAGTAGGTTTGTTCTAAACTTGAAGGCTCTAAATCAGTTTGTTGAAACCACTCATTTTAAACTCGAAGATGATCGAATGGCCTCAAATTTATTAAGTCCCGATTCTTTCTTGACAACTCTTGATCTTAAAGACGCCTATTATACAATTTCGATTCATGTATCTCATAGGAAGTATTTGAGATTTATTTTCGATAAACAGTATTATGAGTTCACGTGTTTGCCTTTTGGCTTGTCAACTGCGCCTTGCGTGTTTACTAAAATCTCAAAACCCGTAATAGCTTACTTACGCCAGTCGGGATTAATTTCGGTCATTTACATGTATGACATTCTTTTAATACGAGACTCATTTGAGCAATGCTCAATTAATGTAACGAAATCTAGTTTGTTTCTCGAATATTTAGGTTTTGTCATTAATAAAAAGAAAAGTTAGATGACACCGAAGAAAACTTGTCAATTTCTCGGTTTTGTCTATGATTCCGTTAAGATGAGAGTTGAATTACCGACGGAAAAGAAACTTCGGCTCAGAAACGAAATCAGAAAGATCAGAGTAAACCAAAAATATAAGATTAAAGATTTCGCTAAGCTTGTGAGCACTTTAGTTTCGTACTGTCGAGCGGTAAAGTACGATATGGTTCATACCAAGGCATGCGAGAGGGCTAAACATCTCGCTCTTCGTGAGAATAATGATGATTACGAGGGTCTCATAGCTTTCACTCGAGATGTTATGGATGAACTTGAGTGGTGGAAGGCGACTGGTTCGGCGGCTCCTAACCCAATTAGAAATTCATTGTTCGATCTTGAATTATTTACAGACACCTCGCTCTCAGGCTGGGGAGCTTTCTGCAAAAGTACAAACGAGAGAACGCACGGTCACTGGTTGTCGCAAGAGAAAGCTCGACATATACATTTTTTGGAGTTGTCTACAGCATTCTTTGATTTGAAATCTTTTGCAGATCATTTCTACGATAAACAGATTTTGCTCCGAGTTGATAATATGACCGCGAATTCTTACATAAACAGAATGGGCGGCGTTCAGTTCGAGAATTTGAATAGATTCTCTAAAGACTTATGGAAGCCTTTTTTCTTTTACGCCTTTCTACCATTCTCGATCATTCTGCGAGTCTTGCAAAAAATTAAGAATGAGAGATCAAAGGGTATTATTGTGGTACCTGAGTGGCCTTCTCAACCGTGGTTCCTTATTTTTCAGTCCCTATTAATCTCAAAACCGATAAAGTTTAGACCTAATTCGAGTATAGTTGTTTGCTCCAACAGGAACAGGTTGAAATTTTTGAAGAACCTTACCCTGGTTCCAGGAGTCTTGGCCGGATAAGCTTCGAGTTGAAGGAGGTTCCAAAAGATTCAATGAAAATATTGTTGGCATCGTTCAGCGACTCATCATGGAGACAATATGATTCCGCTTTGAGGAAATGCTGGTCTTTTTGCCAAACGAGAAAAATCAGCCCGTACTCAAATTCTGTTCTAGATGTTTTAACTTTTCTGACAGAAGCATTTGAAAAGGGAGGTTCTCAGGCCACATTAAAGTCCTATAGATCCGCTATTTCGTTGCTCGTAGGGCCAGAGCTAGCTCAGGATTTTAGGTTAAAAAGATTTTTCAAGGCGATGAGTAGATTGAGGCCGTCGAGGCCTAAGTAAAGTTCAACTTAGGATCCGAAGATGGTTTTAGAATATTTAATTACGTTGCTGCCAAATAAGAAAATGAACTTGAGAGACTTGTCGTTAAAACTTATCATCTTGCTCGCTCTTACTACGGGCCATCGAATGCAAACTTTTTTGCTAATAAAATTAGAAAATATTAGAAATTAAGATTCCTGCACATAAAAAAGAAAAATCGAGCAAAAACAGGAATCAACCCGTATTGGAGCTCCCTCTTTTATTCAGCAAACTTCAAAGTTTCTGTTGCTTTGGCTCTGGAGTGTTATATCACGAGGACCGTGAGTATTCGGGGATCAGAAAGTTCGCTGTTCGTATCGTTTAAAAAACCGTTTAGGGCTGTTTGGAGCTCAATCTCTTAGTCGTTGGATCAAAAAAGTTCTGCGTAAAAGCGGGCTAGACACAAATATTTTCACCGTTTATCCCACGAGACACGCGTCGACTTCGCCGGCGAAGAGAAAGGGACTTGATTTAAATACTTTAAGACGAACTGGACTTTAAGTTGGACTGTCAAGTCCCAAACTTTTGCCAAATTTTATAATTTACCGTTATTGAATCCTACTGATTCTTTTGCTAACACATTAGGTGATTAAAAAAGATAGTTGTGTTTGGAGTAGAGACAAATGTTCTATTCTTTAGATGTAAAAAAAGTTCTGGGTAAAGTAATGCTTTATAAAGGCTCTTTTTTACTTTACTTTCGTTTTATCGCCGTAACATGCATTGAACATCTACAGGTTGATCTCGAGAAAGAGGCGTGTAATACAATTATATGATTAAACGAACTTACCTAAGTGAAGTTCTATCATAATTGTATGAAGCGGCTCTTTCGAGATGATCAACCCCACCCTATAAATCCCTAAGTCAATCTTTCGTCATTGACACTCATATAATTGTTACGGCGTAGCTTTGAAATAATGAGGCATGCGAGCGTGCAGACAGGGGAGGCGATGCCCGCCCCTTTTTTGATTTTTACCTTTAAAGTTTGTGGCGATATCGGCGGGAAGTAGGTACTACAGGTTGATCATCTCGAAAGAGGCGTTTCATACAATTATGATAGAATTTCACTTAGATAAGTTCGTTTAATCATATAATTACACTGTCCAACACGATTTTTTTTCCGCGATATCCACTAGGTGATTCTGATAAGGTTTCTCGTCCTAAATACGAATCTGAAAGTGAAATTACTCCATCACCCTTACTTTTCGAGAAATACGAGATTTTGTAAAAACGGTCCATTTTGAGAGAAAACGTAGTACTACTGAAAAACTTCGAACGCTAGAAAGTTCTATTTATTCTTAAAAGATAGAGGAGTGTTTTCTGAATATGAAGACATATTCGTTTAGAATTATCTGCTCCTTTGAATGCCTGTAAATGAACACCGAATTTCAAAAAGGTGATGATGCGTGAATTTTTCACGAAATACTTTTGTATTTTAATGAAGAGTTATTCATCTAGGTTTTTTTAGGAAATTTACAGGCATTCAAAAGAGCAGATAATTCTAAAGGAATATGTCTTCATATTTAGAAAACACTCCTCTATCGTTTAAGACTAAATAGAACTTCCTAGCGTTCGTAGTTTTCAAGTAGTATTACGTTTTCTCTCAAAATCGATCGTATTTACAAAATCGCGAATTTCTCGAAAACTAAGGGTGATGGAGCAATTTCACTTTCAGATTCGTATTTAGGACGAGGAACCTTATAAGAATCACTTAGTGGATATCGCGGAATTTAAAAAAAGTTTAAATTTGTTGGACAGTGTTACCATTCGATGAATCGGAAGGAAAACAAAGATGATAGTCACCGCGTGACACGCTCTGCCAAGTTTCTTGATATAAAGTAACATGTCAGGTATGACATTTCCAATTGAGAAAACTTGCGCGAATTTGGGCCATTTTAAGTTATTTAAATTTAAAGTGCCAAGTAGGAGTATTTACAATCTGTCCAACCAGCATAACTTGTTGATATATCTGTAAAGGTTAATATATTAGTATAAAACTTAATATAAAATGAAAAAAGAAGTATGTAAAACACTAATACGTTTTTACTTAACAATGGATCCGAGATTATAATTTGTCAAAGTTTCGGTTACAAGCGGCTAGATCAATCTAGCCTACTTTTGAAAGATCTACTTTTCCATTTATTTAAACGAAACTGAAGACTAAAAACAGCATTCTTTATTCTAAAATTTATGAATCTTGACCAACTTTTCATGAAAAAGCAGTACTGGCGTCGCATCGCTTTGCGCCATGCTTACAAGAAAAAGAAGACTGTTTACGCGGGATTAAAACAAACTTTATTATCCTTAATTTTAATTTAACATTAACCTATTATTGTTATTTCTGCCCATATATTCTAACTATGTTGCCCTATAAACTTAGAAATCCTATTTCATAAAAAATTCATAATAATTTAATGTTTTTAATATGCATGTCGACCATATTGGATCTGCCATTTTGAATTTTGCAATTCTGATACCAGATTCGTAATTTGCGGCCAAATAACTCTTAAATATCAAGTTTCACGATGCTCCGAAAACTCCTTCTAATTTTGGCCAGGTTTTTGGCCATTCGGACCACTGTGTGTCGTGTCCCGTAATCTTTCAAAATGGCGTTA